CACACTGCCAACGATGAACTCGTTCAAAAATGCTCGTCCAATGTGCAGAACAAAAGTTTTTATCAGGCCTTCGGTCATTTGCCTTCGCTTTTTCGTCATTGTCCCACTATATAGCACCCTGCTACAATTTTTGACAAGTACCAAATTATCGTGTCTTGTGCCTTTGAAAAAAGTCAAAAACTACCCATAGAAGAACATCTTCATCTTCCTTATTGGGTAAGATATGAGCTAATTCAGAGTGCTTGCTGAAGAACTGCGGAAAGTAATGATTCGTCTGGGTGACCTTCGATGCGATCAGGCAGTCTCACCCGATGAGCTGTTCCAATCCGTATGGAAAATTTCTCCTAGATTTAGGTGCGTACTTGGAATTTTTCGTGTTTCCAACAATTTTCAGTTCTACTTTACAGAGGATACCACCAACAAGATGCTCATGAATTCCTGCGTTGTACGATGGATCGAGTCCACTCGGAGTTGAGACGATGCCGATTGCCGGAATCAGTGGATCAGTGGTTGGCCGCTGCATGTGGAGGCAGTGAATCGCCAAATGGCTCCGCAGTCACGACCTTGTTTGAAGGTTCTTTGCAAAGCCAGGTGGTCTGCCTGACATGTCACACTGCGAGCAATAAGCATGATCCCTTCCTAGGTATGGTATGATGGGGAAATTACACTTATAAACTTATATACTTGTTTACTGCGAATGATAGGGCATGGTTGGCACGCCGCCAGCTTGTTTTCCGCCAGTTGTTGAGGTGGGCGACGACAGCAGTTGGTATAAAACCTCTGTTAAGTACGATATGATACAGTATTTGTTGCTCGCTTCGAAGATTAGTGGAAAATGGGTTTGGCGCCGCGCCTAAGCTATCCCTCCTGACACACCCCATCATCCGCAGTGGACAAGACTATTTGTGGTTTTAAGTGCTCGCTCATAATGAAACGATTTAAGACTTGTCGCTCGATATATTCGTCCCTGCTGCGAATGGAAGGGCCAGTAACGTGCGGCTGTCGGAATGCATAAAGCGATTTTTCGCCAAGGAAGAACTAGATCATTGCGAGCAGTATATGTGCAGCAATTGCAAAGACAAAACGCCGTCCACTAAGCAGCTCTTCTTGAGAGTGCTGCCGAATGTAAGCAGTGCAAGTTGTGCTCTTTATGGATTATGTATTCGAGAAAGATTTTGAAGGTGCTGTGTCTTCATTTGAAACGCTTTCGGTGGTCGCATTTCAATAGAGCTAAACTCGATAACATGGTCGATTTCCCACTGAGCGGTCTGGATATCACACCATTCATGGCACAGGTTCGTTTGAACGCGATGTCTTGGGAACTTAATACCCTCTGTTCAGTCAATGTTTACAATGAGTCGTTCGTTCCCTTCGAGGTGCCTCGCTTAAATCGAATTAGTGGAAGGAATGACCAGGGTTTCTGGAAGAAGTGCAACACGATATTGTCAAGTAGGTACTTGAGACGTGAATATTTCCAGTGCGCAGCTTCACGCGTCGCTGAGAGCTCTGGTAGTATCACCTTCGACTTGTCATCTGTTGTTGTTCATCACGGATCAGGGTGAACTTTTTTTATCGCTTTTTTCCTGCAAACCTTCCCACCTCCCCAATCCTTTTTTCTTTGTTGAAATTCTTTAACATTTGATAATCCTTATTCTAGTACTCGGCATCGGATCAGGAAAGACTTTCAGGTGCACTGTTTGGCCTGAGGGTGGTGGGGGAGGGGGCGTTTGCTGTTTCGTTATTTTCATAGCTTTCTTCACCTCGGTGAAAGATGTGGAACGGAATACGCCTCGCTGGGCCTCGTTGGGGAAACATGTGAACCCTTAAAGACTTGGGAAACTGTAAGAGTTCTTTTGTGTAGTATTTTAGTATTAAAAGTGTTTACAGGGCTTTACGTTCATGGGAACTAGGTAAATGACCCCTCCAAGGTGAACTGCGCCATCCTTCTCTTCCAGTCGTTTCTCAAAAACTTACATCCACAACAGGATCTTTGTTACATTTGTAGAGGAGGCAGAGATTTTTGCCCGATCTCAATAGACATTCATGATGTTTAAAGACAAGCCCTGCGGTTGCATACTATTGTGGATAGTGGTGTGCACTTACAAACCTATTGCCGCTAAGCGGCATTACCGAAGAGAGAAGGTAACAATGATTGAGATAGCCTAAGCGAGGATGCTTGGCAACATCACTCACCGGACTTGCTCTTTCTATGAGACCAAAGCGAGATCCTCCCGCCTCCGGCTTACTACTCGTTTTTCTCATCATCCTACGCTAGTTCCGTCTAACAGTGAAAAAAAACGAAAAACACGATGCAAAAACTGAACTTTTGCCACAAAATAGTCTTTGACTTTCGAGGGGACAACTAAGGAGGCGTCAGAACTGCCACAAGGAGGGCCACAGCGCCTTTGTCGCTAACTGTGGAGCCGTGAAAGACAGAGACATGCCAACCGGACTACTTGGACAAGGAAGGGAGCAATGACGGGATTGTGCTGGATGCGAAACTTATGTTTGTAAGGTATACACATTCAGTAGATTATAGGGTACCCTGCCGTTCCCCACCCACACGGTTCCTAATAGTGCTATGCCGCGCATCCCATTCTTGGGCCTGAATCCCTCGTTCCTGACGAAAATTATCGCTGTCCTCGTAAAGGTAGCGAGCAAGTTACAACCAGGGGTTGCTCTTTCCTCGTCGCACGTGCTTTCATCTATGACGGTTTTGTCCACGCTTAAACCTCTGAAATCGAAAGCAATGATGAGTTTACCCTACACATTCACTCGCCCAAGAATCAAAAGCTAGATAACTAGCCCTATAATCATAACTGTCGTAGCTTCCCTCTGCATGCAGTTGCCTCCTGTCAGTATCTCTACTGCGATCGGGCTGAGATAGGCTTCTCACTAATTGGGTCGTCAAAGGGCCTTGTAATGAAACGCTGCAACAGATGCTGCGATTAGTTTAGACTAAATAGCGTGAGTGCGCGTTTATAGCGTCATAAACTTTGTCATTATTTGCCTTCTTTTTCTAATCCTCATCGATTTTCTGGCTGAAACAAGTGGGATGGGCTTCTTGTCGTTTCATCCATTTGGTGATTTGGTCAGCCCTTGATAAAGGGTAATATAACGAGAAATTAAAACCGAACTAAAATTTGTTGTTCTTTTCTCAGGTGGAAATTCAACTGTCTTTCGAAATAACAAAGGTGAATAACAAGTATGAGAGTGAAGCCTCCAATCCCCCTTGAAAAGCAGGAGCGCGGAAAGAAATTCAAAACTGTTTGTTAGCAGTTTAGGGATATGATGAGGTGTCTGCGCTGCTTAGTTTACTCTCGACCAGATCATCAATTCCAGGAAAATTGCTAGCGAAGCATTATGAATATTTTGCCTTGCCTTATCGAATTGCGATGTAGAGCCAACTCTGCCAGCTCGAAAAACTGGAACTAGTTTTTATAGCGCTCCTAAGCCCTCGCGCTTTCCGTTTGCTCGATGCAGTGCGTAGAGCATTTGCATCCGCAATCTGCAGCAGTCTGTCCTAATGTAGTCTGACTTTTTTTAATGAGGAAAACATATGTAACATGTGAAATTCATGAGAAACTTCCGTGATAGCTTTGAAGTTTCATGATGAAGTTGTTCAAAGCATGCGTCCGTGAAGAGCAGGGGTCGGGCTGAAAATTGATAAAGTTAGCATTGCAGATTAAGAGGCACTCCACCCATCATTACTGAGTGTTAGTTAAAGACAACCCGCGAACAAACTGCGTATCGCTAAGTGACTTTCTACTGGAGAAAAAAGCAAAAAAAATATGATAGAGAATCTTAATTGAAGACCCCGGCCGCCTTATTGAACGAGTTGTCTAGTCCTGCTCGTTTCATGCCAGCAAAGCGATATCTTGCCGCCTCTGGATCACTAATCGTTTTCTCGCGTCACTCAGTAGTGATACCACCTAACAGAGGAAAAAAAAAACGAAAAAAACACTGTGTAAAAACTGAA